ATAATGAAGTCGGCAAACACCCGACCCTTCATTGCCTTTCTTGGTTCGTAGGTGATTTCGAGACTTTGCATTTCAATATCCCACTTTATCATTCTACCGGATGACTCCAAGGTTGTCATTAGTCGCTTGAAGGGATGGTCTATGTAGATCACAACCGGATGTGCCAAGAAGTAAGGCTTCAACTTGTTAACAGCCATGTAGAGAGCGAGGCCAAATTTTTCAACCATGGGGTACCGCAGTTCAGCAATTCTGAGAACATGGCTAATGAAATAGACAGGGAGTTGAATGTCGTCTCTCTCAGCAAGGAGAACGACACTAAGGGCATGATCTGAGATACATGTACATGTAAAGCGCCTCCTTTGGAAGAGGGCTAACAAGCCTTGGCAAAGAGTGTAAATTTTCTTTCAATTTTTGAAAGGCCGCCTCAGCATTATCTCCCCATTTAAATCTAGTCTTCTTCTTGATTGCCTAGAAGAAGTAAATGCCTTTGTCACCTAACCGGCTGAGGAATATTCAAAGCGCAGCTAGGTAACCGGTGAGCTTCTAAACTTCCTTGACAGTGCGGGGTGACCTCATGTCAAATACTGCCTGTGTTTTCTCAGGGTTAGTCTCTATCCCCCTTTGATCAATCAAGATTCCGAGAAACTTCCCAAACTCAACACTAAAAACACACTTTTTGGGATTTAACATAACCTTATGCCACCTGAGTGTGGTGAAGGTTTCTCGGAGATCAGCAAGGTGATCCGTCTGTAGCTTGGATTTAACTATCATGTCATCAATGTACGCCTCTACATTCCTCCCAATCTGATTAATGAAGATTGCATTAATCATTCGTTGAAAAGTAGCCGGCGCATTCTTCATGTCAAACGGCATCACCGCATACCAGAATAACCCCAATCAGTGATGAAGGCCGTCTTCTCATGATCTTTTTTCCACAGGGGTATCTACTGGAGTCATCTTCTCTTGATCTTTTTTCCACAGGGGTATCTGGTGGAAGCTTGAGCAGGCATCCATAAAACTCATCAAGGCATGCCCGGCTGAAGAGTCGACCAAGCAGTTGATCTTTGGAAGTGGGGAAATGTCCTTAGGACATGCCTTGTTCAAGTTAGTGTAATCTACACACATGCGCTAGGTACCATTCGGCTTCTTTACAAGCACCACGTTTGCAACCCAATTAGGGAAGTTACATGGCCAAATGAACTCGGCGTCTAACATGTTTTTTACCTCGACAGCTGCCGCCTGACTTCTTTTCTTTTGCTTTATTTTTAAGATCCACGGCGAGTTTGTGGACAGCAAGATCCGGTCTTATGCCAGGCATCTCTTCCAATTCAAAGGAAAAAATGTCTTTGAATTCTTTTAGCAAGAGGTGCAAGTCTGCACCCAACCTATCAAAGGCAGTCGTCCCAACTTTAACAGTTCTCTTAGGACGGTTGTCGTCCAAAGGAATATCAATGTGCTCACCTGCCAGCTGGGGACGGAGATCATCTGACTGTTTCCCGGTCAGTTGTTGCTATTTCTTCTCTTTCTTCACCTCCACCAGCTGATTTGCTTTTCTTTTCTTCTCGGCTAATAGTGGGGCTCAGTCGTTGGTTCGACGTTTGAGAGGTAACACTCCCTTGACGTCTTTTGATACCTGTTGAGGGAGCCAATACAGCCATCATCCTTTTCATACTTGAGCAGCATGAGAGCTGGGAGGATTACGGCCTTGCACTCGTTTAGAGTGGGTCAGCCCAGAATGATGTTATAGGCAGTCTTCTCTTTAACCACCGAAAACCGGACGATCATATGTCGCCCTTTTCCTTTCTGCCCCAGCCGGATGGGTAGATTAATTTGTCCGATTGGGTGTATGACCCCTTCCCCAAAGCTAACAAGTGGATGAAAGACGTCACGCAGGTTGTCCAGCTTATAGCTCAGCTTGGACAGACACTTGTAGCTGATGAGTTTAGAGGAGATATCGGTGTCAAAAAGGATCCGACTGACCAGCTGGTTGGCGACCTTACATTCAATGACGACTGGGTCGTCATATGGACAGCGGACTTTTCCCTGATCCTTCTCAATGATGAGGATGTCTGGGAATGTTCCACTGGTGGACGCTTGTCCATCATCAACTGAGTGAATCATCTTCTTCAGATGATCCTTGGTGTCCTGGATGGTCGGGCTACCACTTGCGAATCCGCCTGCTATGGTGTAGACCGGATCCTTATGGGTGTCCGAACTACTAGTAGGCTGGGCAATCTTAGACGAATGTCTTGGATTCGTCTTGGCAGTCGATTTGGACTTCAAGACATAGAACTTCAGCATGCCCTTATCAGCCAGACGGTCCAACATCCTCTTGAAACTATAGCAGTAGTTGGTGTCATGGTCGACTTCCTCCTGGAAGTGACAGTATTTATTCTTGTTCCGTGACTAGATGGAACTCTTCATTGGATTCGGCTTCTCAATGGTCAGTCGGTCCTTTATCTCCATGAGGATGGAGTAGTAGTCTTTATTAAACTCGTACCTCGGAACGTACGGTCTGAATTCTTTCTTTTTCTTTTTTAACGGCTGATTAGGCTCATCAATCGCCCAAACTTCTGTTCTCTTTTTGCACTCTTCAGCTTTCTAAGCCAGCTGAGCAGACTTACCCTCTTTTTGCTTGACAGACTTCTTAGAGTTTGACTGATGGTTGGATGAGCAGAGGTCGGCATCTTAAATAAAGCTCTCCGCCTCTATCAATGCCTCTAGGAGGGTGAAGACCCTCTTTCAGAAAAGGTCGAACTTAAAGGTTGACTCATCATTAAGACCCTTGAAGAAGTTTGTATAGGCTACCTCGTCAAACAGCATCCGAATATGGATTCTCACCAGATTGAACAAGTTTGACATAGGAGCGAAGCCTTTCTCTTTCTCCTTGTCGTATGGTACTTATGTCAAGACTTGTTTTCTTGGTAGGGATGTTCGTTGAGAAGTTGGAGGCAAACAGGAAAGCAAGCTTCCTAAAGATGTCAATGCACCTGGCTGGCAGATTGTCAAACCATTGTTGGGCTATGCCCTTCAAGGTAGCCAGGAAGCATTGACACCACATAGCATCATTGACAGGGTAAAGTCGTATCCCCTAATCAAAAGTAATTACCTAAGTCCTCTAACTACAGTAGATAGGGAAGTAGGGTCGAATCCACAGGGAAACAAGTCTTTCTACTCCTAATTAATTATTATAATCTAAATTATCGAGGTAACCAATATTGTTGTAAATAAAGTCTAAACTACGAAGAATAAGATCGGAGGAAATAAAATAGGGAGAAATTAAATATTAAAAGACCTAGGGCATTGGTTCACTAATAAACAATAATCCAGGGCAAATCATAATAAGCAATCATCAAGCATTGATTAATCAGATTATAAAGGGCTTTCGCTACGTATTATAATCCCAGAGTTAATCTACCGGTATTAAATCTCATCTGTCGAATCTCGACTTAACCATTTTTAAATTAGTCTGCCTATTGAAACTAAGCCTAAACATCAATTCTCATATTTCAAATCTCGAATTAATATTGCTAAACTCATATAATTAAATCTGGCCAAACCTAATTGCATAGCATTAAATCAATCAATAGAAAATTAACCAAGCATTGATAATTAACAATCACAAATTTACCTCTTCATAATATTTATTTCCCCATAAACCCTAGAAATAAAACTACTCAAGCATCATCATAACTAAACTAATCAAATAAATAAGCAAGACATAATCAAAGAAGTAAATAAAATAACTGAAATTAAAAGAGAAGAAATTGTTACCAAAAGAAATCTGGATTAATGAAAGTAATTAAGAACAAAGTTGAGAGAAAATTTAAGAGAGAGAAAATTTAAGAGAGAGAAAATATCCTAAGTAGAGAGAGAAAATCTAAAAGAGAAGGTAATCAGAATTTACGTACATAATTCGTACTTAAACATTCCTCAAAACAAAAATTAAAACAAAACTAATCATCTGCTAAGAAAAACACGCGCCCGAGCAGGCGAGGGGCCGCCCGATCGGGCCCGCCTTTTTGCTCTGCCCACTGCAGGTGTGTCGCGCCCAATCGAGCTTACGGTCACTCGATCGGGCACGCCTCTTCCTTGAGGTTGCTTTTGCGCGCCTCCGCCCGATCGGGCGCATGCTTGCCCGATCGGGCCAGGCTTCTTCTTCGAGGCTTAGATTTCGATTGGGCACGATTCCTCAGCCCAATTTGAATTTCTTCATCGGGTCTTGATTAATTGATCCAATAGCCCCGGTATCACATACCGAGCCCTTAATCACCGACTCTCACCGATCCTGGGCTTTAAGAGTGGTCGTGTCCTTCTAGCTTCCGTAGTTGATCCATGAAAACCCGGGAAAATGATCCAAAAGTGCAATTTCCTTTAAAACTCAACTAAAACTACGAAAACACTAGAAAACACAAATTAGTAATAAAAGTGGCCCTAAAGAGCCAAAAACACTACTAATTATGACCGTGGGATGGGGGTAAAACACTATATAAATTGGACATATCAAACTCCCCCAAGCCAAACCTTTGCTTATCCCTAAGCAAAGAGCTCATCAATGAACATATAAAACATGCCTCATCCCAATAAACAAAATCAAGCGCAAACGATTCAAGATAAATCTAATGAACATGCTTCAATGTCAATCAATCTCATTCATCTAATTATCCTTCATTTCCAATAATTGTCAAGTAAAGAAAATCACATGAGCATATAGAATTCAAGACTAGTGCTCACACACTCAACTCTCATTTATGTGGCGAGTAAAAGATGTACTCGATCGCTCTCCAACCAACCCCTTTATTTGTGAACAATGCCCTCCCATCTCACACTCTCGTGTGTTTAAAGCAATGAGCGCTCAACCTACTAGTCGACTCGAAATATGTCAAGTCATAACTTGCATTGATAAACAACACTTTCACATTCATACAACACTATGCACAAAGTTTAGAAGGTCTTTAAAGCTTGTAATGTAAGGCCGGTAAAGGGTAGGATAAATTTAGGAGTAAAGCCATGCTTAAGGGAGCCATATCCTAATAAAACCCAAGGTCACAACAAGTGATGACCAAAACATCTCCAATCACAACTCAACTCCACAAATGTTCACCAAACAATCATATATATAACACAATCCCAACACTTACATATTCACTCACAAAATATGATAATATGGAATAGAGTGAATTAAAACAAACTTTGAACCACTTATTCTTCTTCTTTCTTTTTTTTCAAACTTGAACTCTTTTTTTCTTTTGAATTTTTTTCTTCTTTTTTTTTTCTTGAACAACCTTCAAATAGAACATTTGAACATATGAAACAACGTTTTTTTCCTTTGCTCTTCTTTTTTTATTTTTATCTCACATTGGAAATTTTAAACTTTGTAACACAAAACATCAATATTTTCCAATCATAATATCAAAGAACAAACACTCTTCTTTTATTCCCACATTATGCAAATAATGTTCACACCACAACTCCCTCACCTCACCAACTAATAGCTCCCCCACGCCAAGCTTGGGACTAGTAACCAATGGGGCTCATATAGGCTTGTAATGTGGCTAAATAAACAATAAAAGGGCACAAGTTACAACATGGGTAACAAGAAGGGAACAAATGTATCTAATATCGTCTGAAGGCTTCCTAAGAGAACAAATGCCTTCGTCCTCCTCAATGTGCATAATATTGAGCTATATAAACATTACTAATAGTTGCAAATCAATACTCAAATTCATTGACATACCAGGAACTATCACACATTCCTAACCAAATCAACTAGTCAAGCACTATATTCACAAATAGTTGGCAAAATTGACGCATGTTTAGGAATCCAAACAATTAAACTTCAAATCGTGATCAACAAATTCACAAAGCTCATTATCATATACCAAGAATCAAAACAATATTTTCTAAGTATGGGACACAGGGAAGCATGATTTACAATTCATTGGAACGTATTTTTGAATTTTTTTTGTTTTTTCAAATTTTTTTGTATTTTTTCATAAAGGAATGCAATAAAAACTACACTACGAAAGAAATAAATAGAGAATAAAGAAAGAGAGTTACATATATACAAGAAATCTCCCCCCTAGACAAATCAAACAATGCCCTCATTGACTTGGGAAGGTAGCTAGGAGAAGCTACTCCTCATCATCCTTTATCCTCTCGTACCCTCCTCCATAGCTCGAGTCGGCACCACCTTTGCTTGTTCCAGCACCACCATAACCCGAACCACTTGCAAAGTAGTTAGGGTTCACATTTTCCCCCATACCCCCAAAAGGAGCATCACCCCCATATCCATGGACTGAAGAGTAGTCCACATAAGTACCAAATGCTCCAGGGGTGAAATACCCTCCTTGGGGGTATTGGAACCAGTCGAGAACTAATGCCTCGGGGGGAATAGCCCCTCGGCGTGCATAGTCATCGTACATGGGGTATAGACCCCTCCCAAGGTTCCTCTCTATGTGACCTACCCGACTATCCAAGGTGCTTAACCTAGAATCTAGGTTTTGCACCATGCCCTCTACTCTCCCTTGCCCCATCTCTATACGGTCCAATTGGCTCCTAGAAGCCGAAAAGTCATAAGGGGCATTGGAGTCGACGTTATAGTCGACCGAGGAGGTGGGTATGCCATAGGTGAAGGGTGGAGGTATTGGGTAGTGTGGTGAATGGTGTTGGGGGGAATGGTCTTGGGGAGATTGGTGGGGTTGTGGTGAAGGATGAGATGCTTGAACCTCACCTTGATCGTTAATCTCAAATGTGTAATAAGGCTTCCCCTTCTCAAATTTGGTCAAGGCGGGGTTGGGTAAGGTAAAGGCTTGGTCTCTCCTACCCGATTGTCGGTGGACTATCCACCAAGTGTCACCTCCCACGGATTGCACCCAGTTTAGGCTCCCTAAATAAGCTAGGTCCATGAGGTTTGAGCCCGCCACTTTCCTATGCCCATCCGGGTTCCAACCTAGGTGTTTTATGGCAATGTGGGTCACTAACCCCCAAAAATAGATAGGTGCCCTAGACCTACCCGCTTCGGCTGCATTGGCCGCCCTTTAAAAGTGATTGGAAATCCTATGGGGTATGTTTAATTTTTCAGCATTAGGGATTACATAGGAAGCCAATAATTCTAATTCATCCCTCCTCACATTTGTCGGTTCATGCCTCCCAAAAATAGTGAGGCCGGCAAACCTTTGCCAAAACTTTGGGATGGGATGTTGAATCCACGTCCCTTTGGCGTGTTGGAGGTTAGCCAAACCCTCCTCAGTGAGTCTCTTGTAGACCACGGCAATGTGGTCTTGGGAGGGTTCGATAGGTTTATCCGATATTAATTCAAACAACTTCCCAAATTCTTTAAGAGTTAATCGCACATCGTTGTTCAATAATTGGAATTGCACATGAGTGATTATAGCATTCATTTTAATCACATTAAAACTAGAGATAAATTCTAATGTTAAATAATCATATGTATCATGGCACATTTGAAAGAAACCACTCATTCCTATACCCTTAAACAATTTTTCCACATATTTATCAAGACCTAATCTAGATAATGTGGGATGATGAACAAAGCGGGTTGAGATTACCTGTCTATCAATGAGATTTTGTTGGGGTTTGGTGAGTCCGACTCACCGCGGAAACAACCCCGAACCAAGGAACCACTCGTAATTAATAAAACCATAAAGCATAAATAAATAAACACAAGAAAAGGAAGAACGAATCATACCCTTGAAGCGAGCTTCGCCCTCTCAAAACGGGCTCTTACTTGAAAGCCTTGAGCACCGCAAATGCCGTGCCTCCAACGGTATCCACCCACAAAGGACGAACACGACTTTGGAGTTAGCAAGGTCCGACCAAAACCCAAGTGATAATGAAGTTTAAGAGTTTTTCCCAAAATATGGAATGCTCTTTCTAACTCCCACTCAAACACTTTACTCCAAATCCCAAGGTTGGTATTTATAAAGGAAAGTATGAGTGGGAATTTCTATCCCATCAAAGTGGGATTCATGAAATTCCACAAATTAATTTAAAGCCAAATTAAATTAAATATATAAGCAAGTAATAAATTAACAAGTGTCCTAGTCATATGTAAAGAGGAGTGGACCACTTGGAGAGAAGGGGACCATACTTGCTCCCCACTCCTTCCTCTCCTTGTGACACTTGTCCACACCAAAAAGCAAGCATACTTACTAGCTTTCCCTTTCTACCCGACTTAGGCTCAGCTAGCCTCGATCCGTGCGGGCTGCTAGCTGCTGCCAGCTCGGCCGAGCATGCCCACGCACATCAGTGCGGGCTGCTGATGCCGAGGGCGCTGCTAGCTAGCCACGCACATGTGTGGGCTGCTAGCAGCAGCGCACGCTAGCACGCCACGCACTGCTTGCGGGCTGTTGGCCGTGCTGTGCTAGCATGCCTCGCACATGGTGCGGGCTGCTAGCCACGCCTTGCTAGCATGTCTCGCACATGGTGCGGGCTACTAGCTCGGCTAATCCCCTAACACTCAGGATTCCGATGCTAGGGGTATTTTGGTCATTGTTGATTTATTACTAATTTGCCGTCTCGCCTTTTTATTATTTTTGACTCGACTTCCGATGCTCGGTTTCGACGCTCTAAGCTCGAATTTCCGACGTCTAAATATTTAACACTCGGGCGACGAATTAATTTCTTCCAAATTAATTTGTCGAGTCGGTTCCTATATTTTGCTTGGGTGTGACCCGAAGGGTTCAGTCAAGATTAAGCTGTAATATTAATTATATTAATATTACTGATCGGAAGCGGCCTCCACCCAGGCATTCCGATCACTTGACCTTAATGAATATGTTAGCTTTCTAATAATTCTGAATCCGCCATCAGATTAATACCCTTGTTCGAAGGACACCATTCTTTTCAATCTCCCACTTGTCCTTCCGGACAAGTGTGCATTTAGTGTATAGCCCCTTTGCTATGTCTCTTCATGAACTACAGAGTAAGATTACTCGTCATCTCTGTTACGTCCAGAAGTGTTTCTCGAAATCCGAGTTTGACTGTCAATAAGCAGATGATTTCTAAAATCCATCTGAGCACGGCCATGCATTTTCACAGTCTCGCTCTTCGAGAGGCCTTGTAAACAACAAGACATGTTCCCTATTGTTAGTAGGGGGACATTTCCAGTCTTGTAATGTAGCTTCTCTTACTGAGAGGACCTAGCCACCCGATATCTGTCGTTATAATCCCCAGTTACGGCAGACGTTTGGCGGATACCAAAGCGGACTAGTACTCAAACAAGAGACCTCCCACTACTCATGGTCAAGGAAAAGAGTTCCGATAGTAATAATGAGAAAAATACTTATGACGATTTTTAAATCTCTTAAAGTATTCTCATAGGTCGATCCAGTATGGTTCTAAACCAATACCTGTGCAAATGATTTATATCCTCATAGCACAAGAAACGGTGCTATAAATCATACTACACACTAATCTCTAATGGTCATTAATCGTCCACAAAAAATATGACCTTGATTAGGGACAATTTTCGATTAAAATATTCAATATTCACTTAATAGGTGTTTCTTTATCCAAGCCATTGACTTGATACCCTATTTTGAATATTTATTAAAATCGAATGGACTCATTATTTAATTCTAAACCAAAATTAAATAGAGACGGAGTAAATTAAATTGCATAAAAAAATTTAATTACTCCAAAAACTGAATGGTTCATCATAGTGCTTTACATTAACATTGTCCAAAATTTAATTAAAACACTATAATATGGAAATCAAAGCCAGTTCGCGACATGCTTGATTCCCATTGCTTGAATGTGTTTGTTGTGATTCACTTGAGACAAGGTTTTAGTAAGTGGATCGGCTACATTATCATCCATTCCCACTTTGCAAATTTTGATTTCATCCTCTGTGATCCATTATCGAATCATGTGAAATCGCCTCTTGACATGTTTGACCTTCTGATGTTCTCGTGGCTCTCTAGCCTGAGCAATAGCTCCATTGTTGTCACAATGGAGGTCTATTGGACCCTTGATGGAGGGTACAACACCAAGTTCATCACTGAACTTGCGAATCCAAACTGCCTCCTTGGCTGCCTCAGACACTGCCAAGTACTCAGCTTCAGTTGTAGAATCAGCAGTTGTGCTTTGCTTTGCACTCTTCCAACTAAATGCTCCTCCATTGAGACAGAATATGTATCCGGATTGTGACTTGGAGTCGTCTCTGTCTGTCT